AGACAAGTCCTCCCATGATATAAATATTCATACTTGGATTTGGGGGACCATTGTTACGCCCTAACTGAACCACTTCAGAAAGTCCACCACCACATCAGGCGAGGTATGGAATGCTCATTGGAAGTGGTTCCGATGTGACTTCACCAATGGAGATGATCTGCTATCACACTACGAGGCATAGGTAATTATGCAGGACTGACCGAAGCGCCCTAGCCCCTGGATCCGAGGCGAAATGAACCCCGGGTACCTCGGCCTGAGGATCCACTGCCGATTTCAGAATGAGATCTTTGTCAAAATCTTTTCTTTTCCTAAGGTTTAACGTGATTTAACGTCTCCATGAGGCTAGTTGATGTGACTTATCAACTTTATGTTAACTCAACTCGGGAGAAGTAACTACCCGCCCACTCTTTAGACGCAGCTGATTGACACCTATGAGCAGACGCCTCATACTGTTCAGATGTATACACGTGTCTCACATCCAACGACTCTCTTCACCTATAAATACCCAAAACTTGGCAAGAGGCAAGGTAATGAAACTTTTCCTATTTTAGCATTCCATAGCAAGCAAATATATATTCTCCTCCCCACTATTTTGCACAACCTTGGTACTATTCCGATCACCTGAGCCTAACTTGACCGTCGGAGTGTATACGGCCGTCGCCACCCCCGCTAGTTCTGGTCGTATGCACCTGACCGTGTGTTGATTGTGCACAGAGAGGAATACGTGTAGTGGCTATCAGTTGGCCACGTAGAGGGTCCAATTTGCGAGATCAACAAAAACTCTACTAAATTCACTACTCACACACTTGACACTCAACTACTTAGCAATTTCTTTTATAAAATAAGGCTCTCTTGCACACATGATTTTATTTATTTATATTTTTTTCAACAATATCAAACACTTGATATGGAAATTTCACATCGATAATCTCCACCTATTATATCTGCTTGATTCTTCCGAGGGATGGGAGAATACAAGTTTCTTTTATCCAGAGGTACCTGAAGAAGATGTTGGATCTTGCAAATGAAGATGAAGTAACTAGTAAGTGATGCCATTCCTTCTGGTTAATTAGCAATGACTTCCAGCTTAGCAAACCTTATATTTCAATGAGTAAATATATTCACATACAATTTTTATTAACTATACCATATTTTAATTATAATGAATATCTCTAAATTTTTCTTATTTCTACATTTATGTTCTCATTTTTAGAATTTTTATCATCAATCGTTTATTAATTTTCACATCTTGTCTATAAAGACGATTTTTATATATAATGTTTTTTGTGAGGCCAAAGAGACGTTTATCTCTCATATTTTAAAATAATTGAAATAAATAATTAATATATAAAATACCATCTTTTCAATGCATATCAATGGAATATTTAGATGAAAATCGTGAATAGAGACAATATATTAATTAATTGAAAGTTAAGAATGAAAATGCCATGGTTGATGACATAAAAGTTAAAGTGAACAGATAGTGGAAACTTTTCTAGTAATTAAAATGTGGTGTATATATATATAAAAATTATTGTGTGAATATAATTACCCTATCTCAATAGCCACTGGCCTGCATGCACAAGGAGCTACAATAACTTACGATATCAGAAACTTTGTTTTCTTCAGGTTTTAGACACCTCCAGTGGGAGGTTTGTACGATAGGCTATTAGCTCATTGGTAGAGTGCGTCCACACAAGGTGTAAGGATTCTTAATTGGTTTGGATTGTGACAGAGCACCGAGCACAGAGGATTCCGAGTTTTCTTCTGTGAGTGTGCGCGTGCGCGTGCTAAAATGTAAACTAGTTTGACAGCTTCCTTCAAGACACGATCAGGGCCGGAGATGAATTGGGAATTACATCGTATTCTTACAACGTGTTCTACATTCTTGAATAGATTGTGCAGAAACTGATCACTAAATTTTGTACAAAAGCATTTTCAAATTTGCAACTACCACGAATTATGAAAAGTACTACAGCCATTAGCAATGGGACCATTGGGCATCTTTGAAACTTACCCTACAGAGCCAAGGGTGTAAGATTCCAATATGGGACAAAACTAGAACTTCAAATTGAGTGGGCTAAAAAAAAGAAAAAAGAAAGGTTCATATAATTTTTCTATGGACTTAGGTTGTCCTGGACTTCCGCACCCTTCGATCTGCCCTAACTTAGACTCCCTAAATCCTTGAATCTATTGCTAGGTCTATGAACACTGCAGTAAAAAGGAAGAAGAAAACATAATAAAATTCATCTTAGAGCAATTTATCGTGAAAAAAAATTAGAGGAGAAACCAAAATATGAATGAACATTATATCTGTCTAGCAGTTAAGTGGCACTTTTAAAAGCAAATCGAGTTGAGATGTCAACGAATCGAGCCATTTTGGCTGGCAAGTTGAAACTCAAGGTTCGGTCTCGGCTCGAGTAAAATTAAGTTGGACTTTTTTTTGGCTCAATCCAAGCAAAAACTTGACAAAAAATTCGAGACTCGACCCGAACTTTGGGTTAAACTGTTCTTTTTTTATTTTATTTTATTTATTATAATAAATAGGAAGCTTTGCTGCCTACTCAGAGGCAGCGTTCTAGGCAGCATATATAGCTGTGCACTTTCGGAAAAGCAAAATTGAAAAGTAACAATTGTAAATTCGATTCCCATCACAGGGGGAAAATGATAGGCCACCGATGCATGAAATTTGGTGAAAAAGTCAGATTACAAATTGCCCGAAAAACGTGTCCAAGTCATAATACGACACAATTACTCTGCATTAATTTTATGAATTAAAGTTCATGCGTCTGAACAACATATTTTCTTTAGCGGACTTGAAACACAATTGCATGTTATGTAATCACGTTTTATTAATATCTATACCGTTAAAAAAAAAAAAAAAAAAAACTTCTAAAAAACAAAAAATTAAATTAATTTATGTTGTGGACTCCGACTTAAACACTATTTGTCACGTGATTGACTTATTTAGTGCTAATAAAATTATTTCATAAAGAAAAATAAAAATAAAAAAACTCTATAAAGGGAACAACATTTATATCAAAGTTAATAGAGCAAATCTTGGTAGGTGAATTCATAAAAATAGATCGAGATCGAGGGAGCCCCCACAACCCCAACAAGTCAACAACCCTTTCCTTATGACTCGTTCATCATTTACGAGTATGAACAATTAGAAGATATAAAAATTCATGTATTCTCAAAATTATTTTCAATTTCACATTTCACGCGATATACGATGTTCATCAACTTTTAAATCATATACTTCATCAACTTGTATCAAAATCTAATTTTTAGTGAAACAAAATTAAGGCTATTGCGCCTCTAGCTTTTGTCGTCTATTAGTGTCGACCCATTAAATTGCTTTAGTCATTAGCGAAGCTAAGTCCCTATTTGATAAACATTATTTGGGAAAAATAGAGTTTTGAATAATGATTTTTCATAGAATGTGTGCTTAAAAAATAGGAAAAGGTTTTGATTTAAGTGCACAATATTTTCATTGTATGAATGTGCAGTTAAAAAAAAGTTAGTAGAAAAAAAGAGTTTGATAATAATGATTGTCAAACAGAAATTAAATCATACTATAAATTATTATTTATTGGGATAATTGCAGCAACGATTCCAAACTTTTCGATTTAACGACGATAGAAGCCCATTGGACAGATTCTATCCACTATTCAATTAGTCAACCTAAAAACAAGAAACTTGACTCAACTTGACAAATTAAATGAAGGATAAAATAGTATATTTACAATTTATATACTAAAACAATAAAATAATTAATCAAAACAAATAATACTTTTCATCTTCTCCAAACTTCTCCACCCACTCATATCCCCTCCTAAAACTATGCCCCCCTTTGAATCTTATTACATTAAAATTCCATTAGATTCCATTTTTTTCTCTCCTATTTTCAATCACACAATTTTTCATAAAATAATATTACACGTAAATCGAAAAATTTTCATTTTTTTTCAACCACGCATTTTTCAAAAAAAATATTATTTCACTCATTCTCATTTCTAGAAATTGGGGACCAAACAGGAGCTAAAATTCAAGGAACCCAATCACCGCCACCACTCGTAGCCTATTTCATCTTCTTCAACATATCCCCCACCAATCATCACCTTTCCCATCCATCTTAAACATCTAAGGGCATGTTCTCTTTGTTGTTTTCATACCATTTTCAATTTTTAATTTTTGTACGCGGAAAAAAATTACAAAGAAAACGCAAAACAACATTTTAATCGTTTTGGCTATTTTTAGTAGAAATCAAGCCAAAACTTCAAAATGCGAAAAACGCGATGATTTCGCAAATAACAGGATAGCTCAGTTTGCTGAGTCACGAATTTTCATAAGATCAAGAGTTCAATTCTGTTTCACCGCAATTTAGTACAAAGAAATCTTATTTTTATATGCACAGTACAAGAAATTTCAATTAAATTTCACGCTTTTTATTATCAATAGCTGGATAGCTCAGTTGGTAGAGACTTGGATTTTGAGATGGTCATGAGTTCGATTCCACCAACCTACTTTCAATACAAAGCTTTTTTTTATTTTTATTTTTATTTTTTTTAATTCACAATATAAAAATCTTTCAAATATATAGGTAGGCGATCGAGATTCGAACCTTGGTCACCAGCATGGACTTTTAATGCCTTAACCACTATGTCAACTGCTTTTGCTTTGTTGTATAAGTAAATAAACTATATATATATATTGAATAATTGCTTTTACAATTTTTCAAAATTAAAAAGTAAACGGGTTTTTTAATTTTTTTTTTTGAAAAACAATTTTTCAAAATGACAAAAGGAACGCTTTTCCAACAATTTTAAAATGGACACTCAAAACACAAAATCCAAAATAAATTCAAAACTTAAAACTAAAATTTGAAACACAAAGAGAACAACCCCTAAAATTGTAAATGAACTTCAATCTTCTATTTCACACATGTATGCACAATATGCGACAAGCACTAAATGAGAAAGGAAGTAAAAACTCACCCTTTGAACCTGATTGCGTAACCACCGCTACCAACAATTTGATATTTCTCCCATGTATTGTCGCCCTGCCAGAAAATTTTACATAACCAAAACCCATTACTATATATATGTTTCAATATACACTAAATACAACACAACTGTAGTGATATATGTACTAACAGAGAGTAAAAGAGACACATATTTGATGTTTCAAATTGATGCAGACCGAAGCCACTGAGCTGATCACCTGAGAGATGATCGGAGCTGAAAAGAGCTGCAAAATCCTTTTTCATAATTCCACCAACGGCTTTGGCCAAACCCGCTGCCAGATTCTCTTTAGTAGCCTTGGAAATCACTGTTATCTTGGAAAAATTGGGCATAGCAATTGTGTTTATGGGAGGATGCAGAGAAATGTTCCCTGTGATTTAGTACGTGGAGATCTAGGCAACCCACTAAACATGCTAAAGCTACTGGCGGTGTGCGAATTCTTCCATTAATTTTGACTGGATTTCTTATTGTTGGTTTTAGGAAAGGGTGGGGTGAAGAGGTTTGGAGAAGATGAACAACAATTTTTTTTTTTGGTTAATTATTTCATTGTTTTGGTATAGAAATTGTAAATTTACTATTTATCCCTCGTTGAATTTGTGAAGTTGAGTCAAACAACTTATTTGGGTTGACTAAGTGCTTGTTTGATAGGAATTTTGATAATTGATTTTTTGATCATTAAAGATAAAGTGGATTCTACTTATAAGAGAAGAATTTAAAAATGACGGTTGTAATAGTCAAATAACGGTAAAAAAAAATTGATTTTAATTGACTTTTTAGCTGTACCAAACAATCTCTAACAGAATAGTGAGTGAAATCTGTCCAATAGGCTCCGACTTGTTAAAGTGAAAGGTGTGGGATTGTGACCGCAAAAATAAAAGGTTAAAATAAAGTATGCAGAAAATTGAAAAGTTTGGGACCAGTGCTGCAATTATCCCAAACGGATAAGATATGACCCAATGATAGTGGAATCATCGTACTTTAAATTTTCCATTCATCACGTCACACCAAAATTTCATGCATAATTGCCTCGTTACTAACGCTCCTCAAATCTCCAAGCAAAAGTACATTAATTGATTGGGAAAAAATAAGAGAGCATTTTTTAAAATATCCAATTTTAAGGGTTTGAGTTGAAAAGTGTCAAATTATTTGAATTTAGTGTCAATTTGTCTATTATGCCCTTAATGAAAAACTGGAACAATTTAATGTCGTTCTCGACATTTGATTTTTTTTCAATTTGTCACGAATTTCGAGAAGTATTTTTCATGAGAATCTACATTAAAATAATTTTTCTCGACACTTCATATGTCATTCTCGACATTTGAACACTGTTTCATTTGTTTAGAATGACATTTCATTTTGAATATGACATTTCTCTACATTTGAAATATAGTTCTCGACATTTCTGAGTCAATGAAAAACATAGCATTTATTGTGATTTGACATGTATGGTTTTGAAATAAATATAGCAGGTTATGTGTCAAAATTTTATTGGTCAATAACAATTTTGCAAAAATGTCCATTTTTTTCTTAGAGTGTATTTGACTGGCATGAAAAATATCACATAGAAAAGAAAATATTTTCTATTTTTTGTGGAAAATAAAAATCATCTCTACCTAAGGAAAATATTTTCCTTAAAAACAAGGAAAATTAGGCATATTTTCAAAAGTTGAAAAATGTTTTCCATGGAAAAAAATAGTAATCAAACACTCAAGTAGGAATTTGGGTGAAATTTTGATATTTTTCATGGAAAATAAATGTAATCAAACATATCCTTAGTGTGGAATTATAAATTGTTAATAAGGGTATTTTGGTCTAAATTCTTCCAAAATAGATATTTTTACAATGGTGAACATTTTTGCAAATGACTAGAGAAAATGGACATCCTGTGAAATTTCCTCAAAAAAAAATTGCTTACCACATTCTACACTTCGTCTTCCTCGGTTATTTCAACTAGTTCTTTTCTAATTATCCAACAAGAATAACAATTATTTTCTCTAGATCTTGATGGAAAATCCCTAGTACCTACCTGCATTCACCTTGTCATGTGATGTTACAGCTCTATAAGTAGGAAAATATGTAGGCACTTTGAGGGGTCCGGCTCCAATGTAACACTTTAACTTTTCTGGATAAATTCCTCTCCTTTCATTCATAAACAGTAGCAATAATTAAAAACTCCATATGCTAACCGAATCTACTTACACAGACTCAATAACAACGGACTACTAACTAACCCCATGACTGAAGAAACTGAATAAACGTGACCTATGTAAGTAAGTATAGGGAAGCCATTTGGAGTAACCAACTGAAACGTGACCCATGTAAATACAATCTGGAAACAAACAAACAGAACTTAAAAATGGACTGGACTTAAATGCATGGACTGAGCTTAATAAGTAGCCCAAAGGCCCACTACTCGACCCGGCTATCTTCAACGCACATAACAAATCCCTCTCCATCAAAAGACCTTGCCCTCAAGGTCAGGGAAACGGCGTATGAGCTCGTCGCGATCTACCCAACAATTCCCCTGTTCTTCTTCCAATTTTGTTTCAGGGTGAATGATTGCTAAGTTCCTTTCCTCTCTAAGTTCAATATTCTCTTCCTCCTCTATACCTTCCAACAGAAAAATTTTAGGCTTACTACACCTGTGACCAATGTGAAAATTTTCATCACAATAGTAGCATAGCCCTTTCTCCCTTCTTTCTTACATTTGAGCTGGGGTTATTCTTTTAGTGGGAAGGTTTTGTTTTCCATTTGGGTTGAAGGTATTTGGGTAGGTCTTATTTTCTGGTTTGGCTTGTGGGAGTGGTAGTCTTGGTAGGGGAATGAGAGCAGGTGTCTTCGTAATGGATGGGGTGTTTGGTAGTGTTAATTGGTAGGACTTACTCGAGACACCCGTATACCTCCTTATCACTTCTTCCTCCTGCAATTTTGCTAAACCAAAGGCAGCTGAAATTGTTTTAGGCTTGAACATGGAAACCATAATTTTTAGTTCATCCTTTAAGCCACTAATAAAAGTTGAGATCCTGAATTCTTCTGTGAGTCCCTTTATCTTGTTAGATAACACTTCAAATTCAGTTTGATATTCTTCCACAGTAGATGTTTGCCTTAATTTAGTAAAAGTCCCAATCGGGTCCTCATATGCCGAGGGCCCAAACCTCACTTTAAAGGCTGAAACAAATTCATCCCATCCACCAACAGGGCCGGAATCCTTCAACCAGCTAAACAAGATAAAGCCTTCCCTTCCATATGGAAGAAGGCAATATCTAATTTTTGTTCATCAGGAGTGTTAAAATACCCAAAAAATTGTTCTGCTTTAAGGATCCAATCCATAGGTTCCGAACCATCAAATTTGGGAAAATCAAGCCTAAGAGTTCTTGCTTGTATCCCCCCATTTCCTTCAAACAACGAGTTAGGAATAAGCTGACCTTGAGTATTGGATAACATTCTCCTCCATTTCCTTCATTGTGGCTATTTTTGTGGACTGCTAATTGCTGATAACTGGTTGCCAAATTGCTGAGTTGCTGCAACATGGCTTCTAGCATTAGTTTTTGTTTATTTTGTTCCTCACGCAGGTGAACGGTCTCTTCCTTAAGCATGGAAATAGCATCAGACATGTGAGCTTGGCGTGTACCCTCAGCCATGGCGCAGGAACGCGGCTCTGATACCACTGTTACAACTCTGTAAGTAGGAAAATATGTAGGCACTTCGAGGGGCCTGGCCTCCAATGTAAGACTTTAACTTTTTTGGATAAATTCCTCCCCTTTCATTTATAAACAGTAGCAATATTTAAAGACTCCATATGCTAACCAAATCTACTTACACGGACTCGATAACAATTGACTACTAACTAACCTCATGACTGAAGAAACTGAATAAACGTGACCCATGTAAATACAGGGAAGCCATTTGGAGTAACCAACTAGAACGTGGCCCATGTAAATACAATATGGAACCAAACAAACAGGACTTAAAAATGGACTGGACTTAAATGCATGGACTGAGCTTAATAACCGGCCCAAAGGCCCACTACTCGACCCGGCTATCTTCAACGCACATAACATGTGAAATCATTTTCGAGTTTTTGGAGTTTTTCTGGTTTTGTTCCCTAAGAAAATGATGGAATTGGTTGGTTGGTTGGTTGATTAAGACGATTGTGTAAAGAAATTGATGAGGGGATTTCGTAGAAGTACGAGGATTTTTATCCTCTGTTTGCTTGGTGTTTCTGTGTTCGTTCCCATTCTTTTACTGTCTCATAGGCTGAAACTTATTAGCTCGGATTGTAAGTTTTAATTCTGATGTTTGTGATTTGATTTTTAGTTTAATAATTGCTTTAAATCTGATTGGGTTATTTCTTTGATGCAACCTCGAAGGAATTTGTTGAAGATTTATCGATTATTGTATTAATCTCATTCTTCAGTACTATTTACATTACTCAGTTAATTACTTTACATTGAATGTTCTCTTTTCTCTATGGTAGATTTCTTCTATATTTTTCGTGATACTCATTTTCTTTTAAATCTGTGTATTGTATAATTTGGCAATAGAAAAATTTTGAAGCTGGGATTTTTCTCTTGTACAGAACCACAGAAAAGAAGCTCAAACACTTAGTGCAATAGAGCAGGTTATTAAATAGTTAGATCATTTTTCTGAAAAGATGGGATAGATTATTATTACTTTGATTCTTATATTTGGAGAATTGTGCAATATCTAATTTAGGATGAAGGTGACGATTTGAAAGAACCAATCTGGGTGGTGTACAAAGAAGAAGGCTTCAAATCTGCAGTTAGCTTTAGTTCTAGGGAGGACAATAGAATTGTTGAATATGGAAATGCAGCAGATGATGTTAATTTGTTGGCAAAACATGGTGGGCTTCAAAATCACATTTTACTCCCTTGCTTATTTAATTTGAGTTTATTTTTTTCTTCTCTCTCTCTCTAATGGTTTGGCTCTTGCTTCAAGTTCAGCAAACAATAATGGAGCAATGGAAGATGACCGCAGAAGTCTGCAGGAGGATAAGTTGCCGATGTCTGTGGAAAAGGTATGATATTCCTATGGATCTAAGTTGCTACTATTTTAAATATCGATAAGTTTACATTTCTTCTCATCTTTTTGTTACATACTGCCATGCAAACGAAAGCAAGCAATGTCACTGGCTAATCTGCAACAAGGAATATTTCTGGAATTTTTCTCTAACAGCTTATTTTGCTTATTGTGAGTTTAAATATTTGATTTTGGTGAAGTACACTGTTTGCATTTTTCTAATTCAGTCGTATATGTGACTGCTGAAGTTATTACTTTGAAAGACAGTTCTGTATGAATTATTTGGGTCCTGAAAAAATTCTAACATGCTTCTCTTTTCCCTGTCGTTGTGAGTTGAAAATGAGAGAGTTGAGAACACGAATTTACTCAAGTATGTTCTGTCTTTTCTTGAAGTAAAACTCTCAGATGAAATCAGACATTCTAACTGGAAAGAAATAGAATATTATGGGCTTTAAATGGAGGTGATATCTGAAATTTTCTATTTAGAAAGAAGTAGAAATATTTCTTATATTTACATTTGCAAGAGTCCTCTGTTCTTCATTTGTTTCCAATTTTGTTTCACTCATTTTTACTCAATGGAACTTCTGGACTTCTACACTTTTTGGTTAGTGCTCCTATATAGAGTAACCATATCGAGGAGTTTGCACAATGAGCCGTATATTAAATAATGACGCAGAAACTATTTTTCTTCATTTTATATTAAGCTTCAATCTATTCTTGTTTTGTTGTCTATAGCTATTTATTTGGTGATTGTGCATGGAAACTCAAGCCACTTGTCCTTCACAAGTTTTATTTTTTTTGGTTCCATGGCAGAAAGACACACCAAAATGTGGTTCGAAGTTATCATGCTGGAAAGTCTACTTCACGTAAGGTAGATGAGATGGTGAAAGAAATGAAAGACCAAGTGATCAGGGCCAAAGTTTACTTAAATTTCTCGTCTGCAAATAGCAGCTCTCATATTGTAAAAGAGTTGAAGCTAAGAATAAAAGAAATTGAAAGAGCTATGACACAGTCCACCAGAGATTCTCGTGTGTCTAAGGGGTACAACTTTTTCTTTTCCTCCTAACTTCCTTATTTTCTGTATTTCTTTTATATGTTCTCTGTTGGAACTTGAAGATGAATTATGAGAGAACTTCATAGGGAATGTAATTGATCTTGGTTGAAGATCAAAATTTTCTAACTTAGAATGAGTAGTGTTTTAGGTACATCTATAGCAATGGTAGATTTTATCTGTGAACAAAGTTTTTACTCATGGACTTCAGTGTATGACTACATAGGATTTTTAACTTGTGTCCACGTGCAAAATTGCTTTTTTGAGAGAATGTGTGGTTAAAAATGAGTTTGCGGGTACATGATTTTCAAATAAGCTATGCCAAACAAACACTTAATTTTTGACTGACCGAAGGATCATTTTTCATTTAGAAAATTTTCAGTAATTGTGTATCATTTACTATGGGTTGTTTCGGATCAAGTTACCTAGAGCCTCATAGTTAAAATTATCTTTTCCTTTCTGCCTTCCTTCCTTCCTTCTATACGCGTGTCCTAGTAATGCTAGGCCATAATTGTTACTTGGCTCACTGGGTCTGCAAATTACTTCTGTATATAAAAACTCAGCTTATTGATGCTATTGACATACGTACCTTTTTTTCCTGCGTTTCCCTGGACGGGAATTCTATTATCCGATGATAAATATACACTGACCCAAGCATATCAAATACTTGTTTGCCTGTAGGCAATTGAACTGACTCGTAATAGTTACTAGTCATCAATACACATTATACATGTTCAAACATCATTGCTTTTCCATTATGATATAGTTATAGATCAAAGATACTGGCCAAAAGGATTCCTGAGCAGACTCCAAATTTAGGAATAAGGCTTGAGTTTGTTAAGGTTTTTGTATAATGTCAATTTCAGATTATAGTGGGGCTATCGATTTATTCTTTGGGAATTCAGTAAAGTTGCATATGATATATAAACCAGTGAAATTTCTCTGCAGAAAATGAAAGCTACGGAGTCCACTTTGTTAAAAGCCAGTCGTATTTACCCTGACTGCTCCAGCATGGTGGAAAAACTTTGTGCAATGACATATAATGCTGAAGAGCAGGTTCGAAAGCAGACAAAACAAGACACTTTTCTTAAAGAACTTGTTGGAAGAACTATACCAAAAGACTTGCATTGCCTCTTTATGAGATTGATTGCTGAATACTTTGCCATAGAGACCGAGAAACAGGAATTCCCTACCAAACACAAAGTACAGGATCCAGATCTTCATCACTTTGCTGTTTTCTCTGACAACATTTTGGCTTCTTCAGTTGTTGTGAACTCAACCACATCAACTGCTACAGTAAGTTACCATGTTTTTCCCCATTTAACAACTTTTTTTAGTTTTATATATGTGATTCAACAAGGGATACATGGTGCCAGAGAGACAAAAAAGTTCATGGGGATGGATGAACATTAGTTAAATGAATTCTGTTATGAGCCATTTTGATATTACTACTGAGTTATTTTGCCTTCAGGACAACCACAATTGTGTTCCATCGTGTTCTCAATTATCACATGCTTTAAAAGAGCAAAGAGGACTTATTTTAATCTGGAAGGCATATCTCATCATTGTAGATATAGTCTCGTATTAGTATGTTGTATAGGAAAAAGGTTAACGGAAATGCAACGCAGAAAGTGATATCTTCATGCTACTAAATCATTTTGATAGGATGAGAGATGACTAACGGTTTTTTCTTTCTCTCTATATTGGGGAGACTTCCTCACAGAAAGAAAAAAAATGAAATAAAGAAATCTCATCAATACTTTCTCTCTCTCTTTTTTGGTCTGGTTAACCTGCCTTATGCAATCTAACTGATGGGAAAGTGCATTTGCTTCGTAAGAGGAATTAAATTATGAATTTAATTGTTCATGTAATTTAATATCATGGTTTAGGCCTATTCTATCATTCTATCGTGCATAGTCTTTTGGAGGAAGAAAAGACTGTCGTCGGAAATGACATTTGGAGATGATTGAGGCGTGCTTATTTTAGGGAGAAAACGAATTTGCATTGATGTGTTATTCTTAATCATACTGATTGATTCTTTACTTTACAGGATCCAGAGAGAGTAGTATTTCATATAGTAACGGATTCCCTCAATCTCCCAGCAATGTCAATATGGTTCTTACTGAATCCTCCTGGAAAAGCTACAATCCATATTGAAAGCATAGACAATTTTGGATGGTTATCCATCAGATATAATGCAACTCTGCAGAAAGAAGGCTCTGTTGATCCAAGATATATTTCTGCACTCAACCATCTGTGTTCTTATTTGCCTGATGTTTTCCCCCTTCTGATAAAGATTGTGCTTCTCGACCATGATGTGGTGGTGCAAAGGGATCTGGCAGGACTTTGGAGCATTGACATGAGAGGCAAAGTAATTGGTGCTGTTGAGACTTGCAATGAAGGCTAGCTTTCATTCCGTCATATGGACATGTTTGCTAATTTCACAGACCCTATGGTAGCAGAGAGGTTTGATTCCACAGCATGCACATGGGCTTTTGGGATGAATGTGAGGAGACATGATTTAACTGGGGTCTATCATAAATACCTCCTTTTGATAAGGAATTATATCTTATCTAATTTTTATTGATTTAAGCTCGTGTGGTTAATTAAGCATTTACGTGTATGATTGTTTTATGTTACCTTGGAAAGATTTGACTTCAGATTCAGAAAGTTTACAGTATCTATTCTTATACTTAGGGTGCTTTGTACTGAGACATATTTCTCTGTTGGTGGTTCTTATGCATGCCTTTGTATTGACTTACCGCGATAGCATTTTCGTGCTTAAAGAATCGTATTGATTATTAACTTTGTTCCAAGTAGAAGTCATAGTTAAAGATGAATTTCTTTGATCCCCTTGAAAATTCAGTAATGGAAAATGTTAATTTTCATAGAATCAAGGTATTTTCTTCAAATTACCAGTCCCTCCAGTCAAAATTTGAATTCATTTTCTTGAATCTTTTTCGTGTTTTTGTGCTGATTATATCTGTCCATGTTCATCAACCTTAATCAGAATCTATTGAAGTGGTTAACCCTGGATTGCATTTCTTACTGTCTTAATGCTTACTTTTTCTTGGACCATGATGGGAAACGGGGGGCCATTGTGGAAAGAAGGTAGCTTGCCTATCCGTTGGATCACGTTCTACAAACATACATTACCTTTAGATAAGAGATGGCTTGCCCTCGGGTTGGGTTATGATTCAGGTACAAGTCTGGACGACATAGGGAAGGCAGCAGTGCTACATTTGAAACCATGGTTGGATATTGGACTTGAGAAGTACAAACGCTAGTGGAGGAAACATGTCAAGTACGACCACCCGTTCCTACAACAGTGCAATATCCACATGTAGTTAGATCCCCACACAAGAAGTTTCGAATCTGACACGGGTTCCTCACACGTTCTATCGATTCTTTTTCATTTTTTCACAATTTTTACTTGTAACTTTCAGCTCTCTTTTTTTCCTTTGCCATTTTTCAATATCCAGCCGTAAGTGTTTAGAAGCTGAGTTCAGTTTAGCAATAACAGAGGCCAAGGATTGGCCTGTCTTGTCTGCCAGTTCAATACCGGCACAATTTGTACATAATACTCATTTTTGAATTGCTAATATCAAATGCACGACTTCCAAGTTTCAGTCCAGCAGATGATCTGAATATTTGTTTCGAAACTTTTGATTATTCTGGTTGACACCGAGACCTAAGGGACCCATTTGAGAACAAATAGTTGTTTAAGGGAAAAAGATACTTGGCCCTGTCCAAACAGGACCCCAACTATTGGAATGGGCGCCCCTTGTTTTAGGGGTGAAATTACACGTGGCAAAACCTGGTTGTGTTCTTACAGATGAGAGGCTATCTATTCATCCAAGCCACGTGGATTCCCTGCACTCATTTTGATCAAATGATATTAATTTTTCTTTTCCTTTCCTCAAAACAAACTGATACTCCTTGCGTGGTGTTGCTGAGAGCGGATCATTTCATTCAATTCCCAGTCGAGTAAAATGGCCACCTTTTCTGCTGGCACTGCAACCTCATCTCTTGCACGTGCTGCCCTCATGCAAAAGGCATCCGTCGCAAGGCATTCATCCGTTCTTGGTGAGAATTCCTTCACAATCTTATTTTACAGTACATTAGCGCTTTCCAATCTAATGCAAACTCGTCCTATTGGCTCATTTGGTTAAGGTGGACTATAAGCCTTCTTTAAGTACTATGTACTAAAGTCCTAAATGTATTACACAAGCAATATAACTCCAAGGTAGCTATGTTTCAGAGATGATGTGCTTTAACATTGAAGCCTTCATTCCATTAGTCAATTTGTACAAAATATGATGTTTCTTGTATTATCATTTTAAAATTTGGTCACAGGGTTGCCATCAATGGCAAAGATGGGAAAAATGAGATGCTCCATGGAGGGAAAGCCTCAAGAGAGTGACTCAAATTTAGGCATGGGAGCATCTTTAATGGCAGCTGCCACCTGCGCCGTCACCATGTCCGGTCCGGCCATGGCTCTTGTGGATGAGCGAATGAGCGCGGAGGGAACTGGCCTCCCTTTTGGCTTGAGCAATAACCTACTTGGTTGGATCCTTTTGAGTGTGTTTGCGTTGATTTGGTCTCTTTATACTGTCTACACTTCCACTCTTGAAGAGGATGAGGATTCAGGGCTGTCCCTTTGACGATGAAGTTTTATAGTATTTTTTTGTAATACTATGTTGATTCTTGTCTAAACTTTTGAAATGCTGTTTTATTGTGCTTTTCTAGTTCTGCTTCTTGCAATTAGGGCCATCTTATGGTACAATTATTGTGCTATATTGTGCATTGCACGTGTTAGCTAGATATGCTTGGTTTAGATGCTGTTATGGGCATATCCTAGTAGCACCTTCTTTCTCTGTGCCACAACACAAGATTTATGTGCAGAGAATGCAAGCATTCAAGAAATTGAGTGAATCTCCTTTGACATTTTCAAGTGAACCTCTCAAATATTAGACTTTTTCCCCTATTATTTCCTTCAAGGCAAAATAACTATTGTGTGTACTTGATCTAGTAAAATATCGTATCAGGAAAATCAATTTTAATAAGCATCTTAATTACTATTTAATGGCTAATACAATTTGCCACAGCTCCTTCAAGAAGAGCTTTCATGGTAGACCAGTCTTCTGAAGTGGAAAGACTTAACGAGGTTGATTGTTGGAGAATATCCTTAACTAGTGGAGGAAGGAAAAAATAATTTAGCTGTCGTAACTTTTCAGTTCCTATTTGATTTCTAGCAATTTCTAGTACTATTTCACTTATAGACAGTCCCAATAATAGTCAGTAAGGAAATCGAGTTAAATACACATGTGGAATCGGCATGAGTTAACATATTTTGAATTACATTTTTCTATATTAGTCGATTTTTTTATTTTATTTTATTCCCCCCCCCCCCTCAAAAAAAAAAAATAAATAAATAAAATCAACCATTGTAGGTCAATTTAGGCGCAAAAAACTATTTTACATTTAAGATATGTACTCCTATATCGAAAGTATTAAATGCACATCGATCAATTTCTTTTTTCAATACGCTGCTTCAATAGCAAAAACTCTTCATTCTCTCTATAACAATGTTTCACTTAGTAGCAAGACACAACTACGAGACTCAATAAGATAGAATAGGCTGGATCAAGTTTTTCTACGGTAACACATGCATTAAAAATTGTGTGCCTTCGAAAGGAAACTGATAGAACTAAGTTCGTCATGGGAAATTTACTTATTTGCCCATCAGTTGGTAAGGGCAAAATTGGAAAGATATATATCATAAAATTATTAATCAATTGTTTCTTGCTGACATGAAAACATTGATGATGTAGATGTGGACCCCATGAAAATATGTTTTCAACCTCTTCACAATCGGCAATGGTATCGGTGGCGCCAATGCCTCTCGCATCGCCGCCGATTATGGTGCTTCTGTTGCTGTTTGCGAGCTTCCTTTCCATACCGTTTCCTCGGACCCTACTGAAGGTGTCGGTGGCAAGTATGCTTGCTCAACCTATAGTTTTCCTTTGTTTCTCTGTTCGAATTCTTCCAATTAATACTGTAGCATGCATGCATATGACAATTTTAGTGATCAATTATAGCTTGATTAGTTTATCGTTAGTTTTATTTTATCAAGCAGACTTCTTTATTTAAGTGTTGTAATGCATCTGTGAATAGAGTGACGGGCTTAGGTATTAATGTCCTGAACGAATTCTGTGAAGGTTTGTACTTCGCGAATGCGTGCCCAAGCAGCTCCTTTTATATGCATCCAAATATTCTCATGAATATAAGGACGGTAAGGGGCGAATTTAGGAGTTTGAATCAGCACGGGCGGCCGATAACCATTTATCGTTGGCCGCAATAAAATATTAAGAGTCCTTTTGATACCCATTTTTATTTTTGCAAAAAATGCATTTTGGATTAGTGATTTGATGGAGAATGTGTGACTAAAAGTAAAGAAAAAGTTTTTTTGAATTTACTTATAATATTATTTTATTGTAGAACATATGAATAAAAAGAAAAAAAAATGCAATTTAAAAAAATGGGAATCGAACAAGGTCTAAAGTATAAATATAACAATTATTTTGTTCAAATTGAACATATATAATTCTGTTATAAGAATCAACAGAATTCATCAAATGACATTATTGCCAAATTTTGTATAATACAAAGGAAAAGTGCGAATTCGAATCTTTAAAATTGTTTGCATTAAAATAGTTAAAACATAGCAAATATTATTTTGTTAAATTTAATTACACAATTCAAGAGGTATCATAACGGCTGAGTTTACAACAATCCTTACTTAGGATCACAGGATCGAATCCTCATTGTCCCTCTCACTATTGAATTTTTCTAAAAACTATAAAAACAAAATGATACATAATAAATTCATTGATAAAGGACTTGAACTTGAGACCTCAAGCATGTTTCAACCAACTCTCACCAACTTAGCCGCAACTAATGTTTGAAAAAAAATGTATTACCAGAAATATAAGATAAAAATTTAATTTATTGTTAACAAAAAAAAAAAATTTCTACCAACGAATCCAGCTAGGGCGCCACCACCTAGATCCACCACTGAGGAGAGTTGTGGTTTTGGATGGAATCATGTAGAAAAGCCTAAAAATGATCGGAGCACTTTGAATGCTAATAAGAATGCTGAACTGAAGCGTCTTAGCGGTATTTACAAGAACATTCTGAAAGATGCTGGAGTCACACTGATTGAAGGACGTGGAAAGGTTGGATGAAAGTTGATATTCGATATAAGAAGGGTTACATGGTTATATTTTTCCACAAGCCATAGATTTATACTGATATAAGTTCGTGATGAATCTAATGATGCATTTCCGTACTTTATATGCAGATTGTGGATCCGCACACTGTTTATGTGGATGGAAAACGTTACACAGCAAAGAACGTTCTTATTTCAATCGATGGATGTGTTGGTTAATGAACTTTAATCATCACAATAGGAAATTAATTTTCCTTTGAAGTTTAAAATCATGTAAATAAGGATTTAATTGACCTTGAGATCATTAGATTATTAAATTCTCACATATATAGAAAGGGGAGGAGATAACCTTTTTGAAGGAGCTATTAGTGGCCTAGTCAATTGCCTTCCTCCCTTAGATCTTCTCCCTTGTTCTCCACTAGGTGTTATTCTTTTTTGGGGAATGTGAAAAGTGGCTAACCCTAAAATCACCCCCAAAATATGCCAATAATGTGCATATTTATAATGACTTATTAGGGTTTGGAAATTGCACAAATTTCTTTAGACTTTATTGTAGTAGGTCAATTAAGTCACACACCTTTTATTGGAGCCAAGAGAGGGACTCAATTGGACTCACATGACCCAAGCTCCAATAGATTCTTTCAATTGGGTCAACTCTTGACCAATTGAGATACATCTATTAATCCCGACTTATTCTACCAAAAAATCGAGATTGCACTCTCGAGTCGAGTGATAGTTATAGAAGCAAATTATGATCCAATAACAATATCCTCTGATTATCGTTCCACAAGTCAACCCCCATTTGACCGTCAATATGTTGAAACTGACAAAATGACCGTTTTGCCCTTCAACATGCATTACCCTCTAAGTCTCATTTTCATACGGCAAATTCGTTGTAATCAAATCACAATGTAAAGTCCAACGATCTCATCGTCGACCTACTGAGCTCAGATTCAATTTGCCTAGAAAAATACCTTAGAATGACGATCGTCTCATCTCAATGATTAATGGATTCCAATATTGTAAGTATATGATCTCTAATTGTTTCGGCTCGATTCTCAAAGCACCGAGATCAATCTTTTATTTAAAACTTCACTCATTGGTACCTCAAAAAATTTGAACTAGCAATCAAAGGTACATTACTCACTCATGAATTAGGTGACCTATTTGATAATCAAGTAGAGTTTCATTTCAAATGGTCACAAATGAGTCATCTACGCGGTCCCGTTCAATGTACATAGAAACACATTATTGTTCATATTTCAAGATCTAGACAAATCTTAATAAGAATAATACAATCTTATCAACATAAAGTGTCCAACTTTATGATCCGATTGTGAACGACATGATTTTGATCACATCATAAATTGTGTCTTACTATACCCGATCCATCGAGTATACAATTTGTGACGTCCTTTATGATCATGGAACCTTAAACAATCATTTCAAATTATAACACGCAAATAACGAACGTAAATTCATAATGTGATTTTACAGAACATTATTCAAAGAATGGGCATCAAACTAACAGGATGCCCCTCCATTCTCGATATTCCTGGAAGTGAATATGCAATAGATTCTGACGCTGCTTTAGATTTATCTCTGAAACCAAAGAAAATTGCCATAGTTGGGGGTGGATACAATGCAGTGGAGCTTTCTAGCACATTCAAGGGCTTGACAACCACCAGCGTCCATGTATTTATAAGGCACAAAAAGGCGTTGTGGGGCTTTGATGAAGAAGTAGGAAGCACACAAAAAACACTTCATCTAACTTGCACAAAATATAACTTAAGTTTCCTTTATAGATGAAATGGTTCACATTTATCATGCAGATCAGGGAGTTTGTTGGAGAACAGATGTCATTCAGGGGAATTGAATTCCACACAGAAGAGTCACCTAGGGCTATTCTTAAATCATCAGATGGTTCACTATCTTTAGAAACTAATAAAGGAATAGTTGATGGTTTTTCTCAAGTTGTGTTTATAATAGGACGTCAACCTAATACAAAGGTTAGAATTTTCCTTTTGTCATTAGCACATTGTTTGCAAAAATTTCCAAATTGCTCATTGGTACAGTTTCTTCATTTTAGGTGGAACACTGGCGCTCATGTTCTAGTGGATAACAGTTCTAAGTTGTTAATCCATTCTTATCTATGACAGGATTTAGGTTTGGAGACTGTTGGAGTTAAATTGACTAAAACTAGAGCCATAGAAGGATTCCCCCCCCCCCCCCCCCCGGCGCCCCTTTTCCCTTAATTCTACCTCCAGCTCCACCTAATAGGATAATAGAAAGGGGGGCTTATATATATGCACATTTTTTCAGCTTGTCCATGTTATGTTCATTTATTAATTTTCAGGTTGACGAATACTCTCGGACTTCTGTTCCGTCAATTTGGGCTATTGGAGATGTTACCTGTTGACCCAAAAATGTTGTCAATAAATATTGGACCCATCCGTGCACACATGAGCCTAATCCAACACGCTAAGACACGTAGACATTCTCAAATGAACAGATCAAGGACGTGGGAGCGACTCAAAAGCGTGGGACAAGAACGTTTTGAATCCGATGAGATGTTTACATGACGATTGTACAATAATAACCAATCAATCTTTGTAGAATGCGAATATGAATTCGTATAGTATCGTATTACAAGACATTAAACAGATCGTTGTATAAAGTGTGTTAAGAGAGCAAATAATGTATAATCTTAGTTCTTATATTGA